TTTGCACCAAATGAAAGTTACTAATTTTATCCTTTCCAGATTATTCGCCGGTACAAAGGGAATGTTTTTGAAAACTCTTTGAGTTCTGGCATTCCATATACACTACAATACTCCACATAATATCACATTCAATAGACTTCTTTTCTTTTTGCACTTAGACCACCGAGATATGAAAAGTAACATATCCTTCACCAAATCAAATCCGTCGTATGAGATTTCACACCAAGATAAAATCGAGTCAATAACAATTTTCGCCAATAGGCATAAGAGTACAATGTGATTGTTCGGCTCCTCCTTTAAGTTACATGAACCACACATAATCAATGGAACTGAGACTCACCTTAATTTTAATGAAACTGATGATGAGATTCTATCAAGCTTCGCTCTTCAAATAAAGCATAAAATCTTAAACGTGATCACTTTACACCATTCAAACGGTCCATCGCAAACTATGTGACTCGCCAATTCAATCTGTTCACGTAACAATCTCACAGAGGAGAGATTGTCAATCACGAAGTCGGAAACCCAACAACCTTTAGTTGGTTTCCAATACACAATTTCTTTGGGGTCGGTATTGAGATTTTTTAACACATGCCTGATTTTGACTATATTCTTCCAAACATCCATTCTAGATCTATTGGCAAAAATGGACCAATGTCTTCCATCTAAGTGATGAATGCATCGAATGACTTTGGCCCACCGTGTAGAATTTTCAATTTTCAATCGCCACATCTACTTAGCTAATAGAGAAATGTTTAGACTTTTTATAGATCCGAGCCCGATGCCACCCACCCTTTTTGGAGCTATAAGTGTTTCCCATGCAACCCAACTAATACTTTTATTTTCTAATTTACTGCTCTGTACAAATCTCCTTCTAATTTTCTCAAGGGTCTCAATGACACCTTTTGGAATAGCAAAGACAGACATAAAAAAGGTAGGAAGATTACACCTTTGCTAGGGTTAATCTACCTCCGAAGCTAAGCGTTTTTGCTTTCCATAACGAGAGCTTGGAATGGAACTTTTCAATAATCGGCCTCCAATCATTCTTCAAGTTCATGCTTTCTCCTACACGAATGCCCATGTAAGTGAATGGGAGAGCTGATGGTTCACAACCAAGAGGAGCAGACCAGTTCGATATTTCACTAGGAGATGCTCCATCACCAAACACTTTAGACTTGTTATAAACAAAGAAAAGGATCAAGATTTCAAACTCTCCAATCTATATATTTAAACGATTTTCTATGTTTACACTAAATGAAAGTTACTGATTTTATCCTTTCCACAGTATTCACCGGTACAAAGGGAATGTTTTTGAAAACTCTTTGATTTCTGGCATTCCATATACACCACAATCCTCCACATAAGATCACATTCAATAGACTTCTTTATAAAAATGGTGGATGCGGAAGAAATAATATCTCGAAATTTATCATGTATACAAAATAACCATGAAGAATATATGCTGAGAATTCATAGAAAGATATGAAAGAAAAGAGAGATAAAAATAAGAACATGAAAAGAACATGGGAGAGAAGATTCTCCCTTGGTGGGGAGAGATCCCAATAATTCTCTCTCCATAATTACATTTTTAGAAGAGTGTATACATAAAAATGACCAACTCTCCCTTTATATCAGATTTCAAAGTCTCTAATCCATGTTTTTAAACAATTCTCTATGTTTACACCAAATGAAAGTTACTGATTTTATCCTTTCCACAGTATTTGCCGTACAAAGGGAATGTTTTTGAAAACTCTTTGATTTCTGGCATTTTATATACACCACAATCCTCCACATAAAATCACATTCAATAGACTTCTTTTCTTTTTGCACTTAGACCACCGAGATACGAAAAGTAACAAATCCATCATATGGGATTTCACACCAAGATAAAATCGAGTCCATGACAATTTTTGCCAATGGGCATTAGAGTAGAATGTGATCGTTCGAATCCTCCTCTAAGTTACATGAACCACACATAATCGATGGAACTAGGACTCCCCTTGGTTTTAACCAAACTGATGATGAGATTCTACCCAACTTCGCTCTTTAAATAAAGCATAAAATCTTAAACTGGATCACTTTACACCATTCAAACGGCCTGTCACAAACTATGTGACTCGCCAATTCAATCCGTTCACATAACAATATCACAGAAGAGAGATTGTCAATCATGAAGTCAGAAACCCAACTACCTTCAGTTGGTTTCCAATACACAATCTGTTTGGGATCAATATTGAGATTCATTAACACAAGCCTGGTTTTCACTATATTCTTCAAAACATCCGTTCTAGATCTATTGGGAAAAATGGACCAATGTCTTTCATCTAAGCCATGAATGCCTCGAATGACTTTCGCCCATAGTGCAAAATTTTCATTTTTCAATCGCCACATCCACTTAGCTAATAGAGAAATGTTCTGACTTTTTATCGATCCGATCCCGGTGCCACCCACCCTTTTTGGAGCTATAAGTGTTTCCCATGCAACTCAACTAATAATTTTCTTTTCCAATTTACTTCTCTGTACAAATCTCCTTCTAATTTTCTCAAGTGTCTCAATGATATCTTTTGGAATAGCAAAGATGGACATAAAAAAGGTAGGAAGATTACACAATTCCTAAGGTTAATCTACCTCTGAAGCTAAGTGTTTCCGCTTTCCATAACAAGTGTTTGGAATGGAATTTTTCAATAATCGGCCTCCAAGCATTCTTCAAGTTCATGTTTTCTCCTACACGAATGCCCATGTAAGTGAATGGGAGAGCTGATGGTTCACAACCAAGAGGAGCAGACCAGTTTGATATTTCACTAGGAGATGCTCCAACACCAAACACTTTAGACTTGCTAAAGTTAACTTTCAACCCGAACGAAACATAAAAACATCTTAAGATCCTCGCTAAGTTAGCAATGTTGCGTCTCGACCATTCTCCAATGAATAAAGCATCATCTGCATAAAATAGATGAGACAAACAAATGTTAGAATTTGGGAATTTTATTCTGTTAAAAACTCATTTATCAATCGTCGTCTTCATCGCTATATTTAACCCTTCCATCGCGATGATGAATAGGAAAGGAGAAAGCGGGTCACCTTGTCTCACTCCTTTTGTCATAGAGAATTCATTTGTTGGGCTTCCATTAATAATCACCGATGTTCTACCCAATTCCAAACCATTACGAATCCAATATCTCCATTTATTTCTAAAGTAGATTTGTTCCATAATTGAGTCCAGAAATACCCAATTCATGGATTCCAAATCTTAGTTAAAATCAGCCTTAAAAAGAATCATCTTTCTTCCTTTTGATATTTCCCAAGAGCAAAGCTTATTAACCACCATCGGACCCTCAAGGATATTTCTTCCCTTAACATACACGGATTGAACCTCATCAATAACACTGACAATGACCTTCTTTAGTCTAAGTGCTAGCAACTTTGCAATGATCTTGTATAGGGATCCAATCAGGCTTATAGGTCTAAAATTCCCAAAGTGAATTGGGTCTTTAGACTTTGCAACTAGAGAGATAAAATGAAGACGCGACCTCTAGGGATTTTACCCCCCCACTTCAAAGTATTTAATCAACCCCACAATATCATATTTTAGCAAGTCCTAGTATTTTTTGAGCAATTTAATAGTGGAACCATCTGGCCTAGGAGACTTTGTCCTCACCACACGACCACACTTCATTTTTTACTTCTTCGATGGAAAATTCTCCTTCTAAAAACCGAGCATCTGTTTCAGAAAGCTTGCGAAAGCCTGAGCTCCGAAACAAAGGTCTGTTCTGCCAACATTCTTTATATTTCTTTTTGAAGAATTTCGTACCCTCTTGCTTAATGTCATAAAGATTAGTAGTCCAGACTCCATTTGCCCTAATCCCATGGATGTGATTTTTCTGGTTCCTATTGTTCACATAATCATGAAAAAATGTGTGTTTTCATCACCCTCTACCTCCCATTTTAGTTTTGCTCTTTGCTTCAGGTCCAAAGCAATAGTTCTAGCATGTTCAACAATTTTAACTCCTTTGATTGACCTTTCTTCAATTTCTGCTGAAGTTAAAGGTCTAGATTTAGTCGCCACTTCAATCTCAACCATTCTTTTTTATTTCTAGGAATTCAAATCTTTGTTTTCATCCTTCACTATATTAGTTTTCCAACACCTGATAATTTTTTTAAGTGTTTTAGTTTATTCAGTAGATATGAATTAGGAGTTCCGAACCCAACGAACTCAGAACATGCTTTCCTAATTACCTTATCAAATCCATTCTTAAGCATCCATGTGTTATACAATTTGAACAGGAAGACTGAAATCATCGTGCCGAGCCCTCAAAATATTAGGAGAATGATCAGAGAGGTCTCTATCCAATGCCAAACAAGAGGCCAGGGGAAACGTGATTAAGAAATGATTACACACCAAAAATCTATCTAATTTACTCAATTTTTCTCCCTGCATTTTAAAAAGGTGAATCTTTGACCTCCCATCTTTAAGTCAGTGAGTTCTCCCTTGCGGATGAATTGATTAAAAGCATTTGCACTGATTGGGAAAAAGACGGAGTTTATCCGCTCTTCTGATCTTCGAACCACATTAAAATCGCCCATAAAAATCCAAGTAGCGGATATAGAGGTTTTCAAAGCTAACAACTTATCCCATAATTTTGATTTCTCATTCACCGATTGAGGGCTATAAATGTTTACAATGCCCGTGAGACCATTAATTCCAACAAAATTATCCAATGTCATAATGAAGTACTTAGATTTAATAGTCTCAACTAACGAAAACGATTTCTTATCCCATATAGATACTAGGCCTCCAGATCTTCCCGTGGTGAAAACCTACTCGAACCTACAATCTGGATTACCCCAATAGTCTATAGTATTGAGAAGTGGGGAAGATTCTCCCAATTTGGATTCTTGAATGCCAGTTATACATAGTTTATGCTCACTCCGAAGCCTAAGAACCTAGTCAACGTTATGTTTCTCTCCAAGACCTCTAATATTTAGATTCATAATGTTCATTATATGATTTGATTCTCCCCATCATCACCAAGGACTTCCTTAAGAATCGGGTTATCAACATCGACCTCGAAGCCCAATATATTGTCCACCTCCATTATGTTTCTAATTTCCGACGAAGAGGATGGAGAATCAACCTCCGTGTCAGGAAGAGGAATGTGAGTAGGTATCAAAAATCTATTGAGATCAAGGGAGGAATGAGGCGGAGTAGAGTCCAAAAAATTAATAGGTACATCTGTGACATTTTCACTATTCTTCTTCTTTTATCTTGGGTACTATCGAAATTTACATCTCACCCACACGTTGGCATAACATTAAAACCTACATTGTTTTGGAAGGGACCAAGGCAACTGGACTTAGCCAGTTTATGAAGAAGCCCATTATGCGATCCACCTGGTCCCACACTTTTGTTCATCGCATCAGCAGTGGAGTGATCATTGTTCAAGTCAGCATGAATCACAACATTAATATTTCATTACTACCAAGGGTTTTGACTTCCAACTGCATATTAATTCCCGCAATCGACCCTTGAAGTTCCCCGATTTTGTATCTTTCGATTCTCCAATCGTCCTCGTCAGTTAAGACGTTTGCCGGAGACAACCCCACCTCCGGGGACTTGGCTTTGTTGACAATGTTAGTCGAACATTCCCAATTTGATTACATGACCACAGCGACGTCCGTAGATCTTATCTTTCCATCCTCTAATTCTTCATTATTCCGATCGTTATTGGTGTCAGATATACCATCCTCATAGTCATACCCTTCCTTATCATTCCCGTCATCATCTGATGATGAATTCTCGTCCAATTGATATCTATGTGACTTGAATGGAACCAAGTCAATATCTACTTCTGAAATTCCGATTTTAATGATTTTACCTTTAACATCCACCAAAGACTCACAATTGATGTTTGCTAGTGATGATGTTATGATGCCAACTTTTCCAAATGAGAGATTCGCCTCTATTTGGTCCACAACAAATGGAACCACTACCTGACCAAAGGTCACATCGATAGACGTGAAATTTTCCTTAGACCACAATTCCGGTGGGAGGCCTGAAATATTTATCCAAGTAGTTCTATCAAAATTGAATTCCGCTATGTCACCACTACCGATTCTCTAAAACCATTCCAACCACCCTTTCATGAAATCTTCTCTACTTTTCAGGTCCATGAACTTCACTGCAATTCTTAACCCACCAAGGTATTTTATTTTACATCTAGATTTGTCACTGTTTTTGAATGAATATGGGGATTTCTCAAGATAGTCAAAGTTGTGCATTACTCCAATCAATTTGTAATTAGATTTAATCCATCCTTGAAGTGGAGAGTCATTAGAGAGTCTAGTAGGAGAAGATTTCAATTAGGGGGAGGGGAGGAGGGGGATTTGATGGGATTTACACACAACAACATCCTATGTGTTCATGCAAACCCTAACGCTTAGATCTACCTTTTACTGTTGTACATGCATTCATCCAAGACTAAGAACCCTAGATCTAGCATACATATCACAAAATCAATGAAACTAAATAGATATTGAAGATTACCTCTTTCACAAGAGATAAAATCTTTGGCTTGATTGTTGATCTTCTTTCTTGAGCTTAGAGTCACAAATGTAACTCCTCTAATGGCTTACAAACACCACACAAGCAAGAAGGCAATTATGAGAGGGGAGGAAGGATGCTAAAATCGGCCCTAGGGTTTCTCTTGGAATCAAGTGGCGAAAATTGCAAGAAAGGGTTCTCTATATATACTGTAGGCTGCTAGGGTTTCAGGTAAAACCCTAATGGACAACTTAATCACCAAGCAGCCCATGGAACCTTCTGGAATAAGGCCTATGGACGAAAATATGATGGATCCCCATCATAATTTCGTTCCCTCTTTAATCCATTGGGTTTCCTAGCCCAAAAACTCAACTATCATACATTTGATAGTTTAAGCCCCTTTATTCAATTAATCTCTTTTTGTCACCCAATTAATTCCAAATTAATTTATGACTAATATTAATCAAATAATATGATTTCTCCTTTAACATATTATTCTAATAATATATTAATAAATCATAATATCTTCTCTCTCTCGTAAATAACCTTGTCAAGTTGCTTTGGTGAAAGCAACCCAAAAGGACCATGCTCAACCGGGTCAAGTACATACCAAATATAGTTATGGACTTAGACACTAATCCAACATTCTCCCACTTGGATAAGTCTAGTAACTATATCTCATATATGACTTCAGGATCCGATCAACAATTGTACCTCTTATACGCCACTGTCAACTCTGGTCTGTAACTTGTCCTTCAGATAAGGGATCGTATAATACTCTGTGCTAAATATCATGCTTACAATACTTATTGTTCATCACTTTGTTTCTCGATTTCTGATTCGTTTGACATAGAACTTAGTTGAACACATCAACTTTGTTCTGATTTGGCCCGACACATAAGTCAAACCAAATCATCGAGTGGCCAAGATATCACCTTTATCCTATTACAAAAAAGGAACATATTGACTTCGACTCATATGCTTTTACTATTTAATAATTAAATCATGCACAATAATGTGTTTTATAACATCAAGTTACTAATGCGTTAACACATCATCAATGCATAACCAACCAGTAAACAATAACCATATCTCTAAGTTTTAAGACTATAATATATTATCACTTTGCGATCACTCGAGATGAAATTTCATGGAGGGATACCAGCAAATGCGGGTTTATTCCAATGCTCAAATTACAATTCATAAGCACTCATGAACTTTGCAACAAACTATTGCTATGTCTAAAACCTTTTAGACAATCTACAAACAAATTCATAACAGTTTTCTTTCATATCTACTTCCAACATATGAATGACTGTGGACCATTTGAATAATCTTATTATTCAGGATGTCAAAACATGCAAAACTGAAACAATAGATAAATAACAAACACAAGATAGTAACTTTACTCTTAAACAAAACACCTTTATTTATATCAAATGTCAAGTACAAGTTATCTATTACATGTTTCCTATCTATCTAATCAAAACTCATATCATCCTTTAGCCCAATGCTCCTAGTGTGTTGCAAGTGCTTAACCCTACTCAGTCCTTTTGTAAGGGGATCTGTTAGGTTATCTTCTAACGATACCCTCTTGACTATGAGGAGTCCCTCTTCTACCTGATATCTAATGAAATGGTATTTTTTATCGATATGCTTGGATCTACCGTGATCCCTTGGTTCCTTGGTTAAGGCAACCATTCCCTCATTATCACAGAAAATCTCCATGGGCTCCTTTATGGATGGCACAAATCCATGGTCTCCAATGAAGTTCTTCAACCATATTGCTTCTTTTGACGCTTCACTTGCTGCAATGTACTCTGATTCACACGTTGAATCAACCACAATCTCCTGCTCTCCGTTCAGGGTAAAGACTCAGCCTAACTACGAACGATAATTATCCTGACCCGTCTGGAAACTAGCATCACTGTACCCTCATACCCTTAAGTCATCACTCCCACCGAGGACTAGAAACCATTCCTTGGTCCTCCAAAGGTACTTAAGAATATTCTTAACTGCAGTCTGATGGGCTCTGCCAGGGTTTCCCTGATATCTTGCTGACCTTGCTCAAAGTGAAGGCAACATCAGGGCAAGTACAAGTCATAGTGTACATGATCAAGCCAACTATGGAAGCGTAAGGTACTCGGCTCATATCAGCTATCTCTGCCTCTGTACTCCGGCTTTGAGTTTTACTCAACTTGGTATTGCTTTGGATTAGCAACCCCCCTTTCTTGGAATTTTCCATACTAAAACGCTTTAGTACCTTGTCTAAGTATGTATCCTGACTGAGTTCTATCAGTCTCTGACTTCTGTTTCTCACTATCCTTATTCCCAGAATATAGGCAGCCTCTCCGAGGTCCTTCATAGTGAAACACTTTTCAAGATAGGATTTAACTTCCTGCAGTGTCAAGATGTCGTTTACTATGAGAAGTATGTCATCGACATACAATATGAGGAAGCTCACTATACTCCCACTGGCTTTGACATATACACAAGACTCATCTTTGCTTCATAGAAAACCAAATTCTTTGACTTTTTTTTTGTCAAAACAAAGATTCCATCTGCGAGATGCTTGCTTTAATCCATAAATGGATTTCTCAAGCTTACACACTCTATTTGGATGCTTCGCATTGACAAACCCCTCTGGCTGATTCATGTAAACATCCTCAGCCAACTTTCCATTATGAAAAGCAGTTTTCACGTCCATCTGCCATATTTCATAATCATGAAACGCAGCTATTGCGAGTATTACTCTAATAGACTTTATCTTCGCAACCGGTGAGATGGTCTCATCATAGTCAACTCCAGGAGTTTGAGTAAAGACCTTCGCAACCAATCATGCTTTATAAGTGTGCACATTCCCATCCATGTCTTCCTTCTTCTTGAAGATCCACTTACACCTGACTGTCTTACGACCCGACACGTTTTCAACCAAATTCCAAACTTGGTTGTTGTACATGGACTAAATCTCGTTATCCATTGCCTCTTTCCATTCAGCAGACTCCAGGCCTGCCATGGCTTCCTTGTAGCTGCTAGGTTCGTCCAAATTTATCAGTGTTTCATCACTAATAAATGTATCCCCCTTAGTAGTAAGATGAAAACCATAAAACTAGGGTTGAACACTAAACCTACAAGAACGTCTAAGAGGTAAGGACTCGTTAATTGGTTCAACAGTAGTTTCCTCCTCAGGTTGAGTGTCAGTGTTAGAAGTTCCTTCATCACTATGCTCTTGAATCTCTTCAAGATCAATTTGCCTCCCACTATCCTCTTGGCTAATGAGTTCTCTTTCTCGGAAAACCCCTCTTCTCGGTCTGTAGAAGAGATAGCCAAAAGACTTCTGTGGATAGCCAATGAAATAACACTTCTCACTATGAGGTTCGAGCTTGTCATGATTCTCTTGTCTTACGAAAGCCTCGCAACCCCAAACCTTGATATGTGCCAACGAGCGAGCTTTTCCTGTCCCCATCTCGTGAGGTGTTTTGGAAACCTTTTTGGTGGGAACTACGTTAAGGATATGGGCGGCAATCTCTAAGGCATACCCCTAGAGAGCTATTGGTAACGAAGCGCAACTCATCATAGAACGAACCATGTCCGACAAGGTTCGATTACGTCTCTTAGCCATACGAATTCAATTGTGGCGTTCTCGGAGGCGTCAGTTGTGAAACAATTCCGCATTCCTTTAGATAGTCAAGAAATTCAAGACTTAGGTACTCTTCTCCTCGGTTTGACCGAAGCATCTTGATTTTATTGCCCAACTGATCTCCACTTCATTCTTAAACTCTTTGAATTTTTCAAAGGTTTCTGACTTATGCATGATTAAGTAGATATATCCATATCTACTATAATCATCCGTAAAAGTCACGTAGAAGCGGCAAGCATCCTTTGTGGTGGATCTAAAGGGCCCACACACACATCGGTGTGTATGAAATCCAATAGACCCTCACCCTTATTACAAGTTCCTGTAAAGGGTGACTTGGTCATCTTCCCAAGAAAGCAAGATTCACACACGTCATCGTTCCTAAGGTCAAATGACTCCAACACTCCATCCTTTTGGAGTTGGGCTATGTGTTTCTTGTTGACATGGCCAAGGCGACAATGCCACAAGTATTCTTTGTCTAGACTATTAGATGAATCAATATTCAACACATCATTTCCTAAGTTGTCTATAACCAAAACAAATTCATATATTCCATTACAAGGAAATGCATTGAAATAAAAAACACCTTTCAAATAAACATTAATAGAACCATGAATATCTTAAACCCTGTCTATATAATCCATGAAAAGAAATGATGTTCTTTGCCATATTTGGCGAATAGCAACAATTATTTAAATTTAATCCTAACACATTACTCAACACTACGATCTTCTGTTTCCCATAATCAAGTTTATCCTCCCATGCTCCATCTCCCTACTTCTTCTTAGGCCCTGCAAATCAGAACAAATATGGAAACCACATCCTGTATCAAGAACCCATGAAGTAGCAAGTGATGCGTTGTTAGATTTAATAGAATACGTACCTGAGAAGGTGGGATTTATCTTCCCATCCTTAATGTCCTCTAGATATTTAGGGCAACTTCGTTTCCAGTGGCCTTCTCATGGCAATAGAAACACTCTACTTCCTTAGTGTCAGAGGAGGGTTTAGCAGAACCTGCTTTGGTCCCACTAGAGGATGAACCATCATGGGGCTTTCCCTTTTGGTAGCTCTTTAAAGGAGCCTTCCTCTTCTTTCCCTTCC